AACAAGCAACAAGCAACAAGCAACAAGCAACAAGCAACAAGCAACAAGCAACAATACCTACATCAACCTTTTTTGAAATAGCTCAGTGCCAGCACGACACTGACATGTAACTGTGCCGGTATGCCGCAATGTGGATAGACCTGACTACATTGCTGTACATATCCGCAAATAATCCCCAAGACATGCACCTGTCACAGTAGTTAGCCGGGAGGCCACAGACTGACTTGTTGTCTACAAATCATGGTACATCAAGTACGATGAACTGATCTTCAAAAGTATCAAATATTTAATGACAAACCTAAACTGATAGGCAAGGGCACTCATTATCATAACATAACAGAATAGAAAAATAGAAACCCGCATTGCACTAGTTAGCAAAAGTCTCGAACGTGAGAATCTCGAAGCTATTAAAAGGCTCAATCTCTTAAAGTCTAATCACCAATCAATTGTAAAACTTGCTTGATAGATTAACCAGTATTTGAGCAGCATCTTGATTGGTGGATTCGTGACCACGTGATTCTAATGTCATACGAGGACTTCCAACAGATGACGTAATGGTATGCGTTGAGCCAGAAAAATGCCTAAAATTATTGCAAAAAGTTAAAACAATCCTGGAGGGAAATTACAATCTGAATATTTCGTAGGCTGTATAATATAATACTTACGGTAATGCGGGGTAATGGTTCAGTTCTTCATACATCGAATCTATGTTTCTCGGCAAGTCCTCGTCTTTCATTCGAAAATCTTCGGCACAGTCAAAGGGTTTCGTCAAACCTACAATCGTTCAATCCATTGCACCGCTAAATGACCTCATCCATTGAACGGATAGTACTTAACTCTTGGATTGAGACGAAAAGAGACGACTCAAAGCCAATGCTTTTCATATACTTACATTTGTTGACTTTATGAAATAATATTGACAGCCCATTGTCGTGTGCATTAAACCCACAATCACAACGCCAGTATGAATTGCTATATTGGTTACTAGGCGACCATTTCATAGCCGTAGTTGAGCTAGTCGTAGGTCTGAAGATGAAGAAATAAAAAACATATTAACATGCAGCCCTAGTCGGTCAGTCGGTCAGTCGGTCAGTCGGTCAGTCGGTCAGTCGGTCAGTCAATACTAATTACTTACACTTGCATGGTTTCAATATTTTCTTGATCAGGATGGCTCAGCGATGAATGGACGACAACAGTAGCCTTATTCCTGGTTTGCCTGGGTTTTGTTTTAGCTCTGGTAGAACCTCGTGATTTATCTTTCATTTTACCGTGAAGTCTGCGTCGAGAATTAGCAAACCAAGTGCTCACCTGTAAGCCACAATACATACAGTGTCAGTACTGATCAGTCACATCAGCAGACCCATATGTACTGATTGTTACTACTACTATGTAATATAGTCAACCGTTACATCCCCTCACCAACATTAATATAAAATAAATCAATTCCTCAATAAATTAGGTATTATTACTGGATGCCTCATGCTTTCATTAAGTTCATCATTCTATGCGTATGGCTGACATTGTCTTTACCTGGAACTTAGTAAGCGCAGTTTGTTCTGCCAACATGATTTTCGTGTCTCGGTTTGGGTAGGGATGTTCTTTGTTTGCATTGAACCACACTCGCAGTTTATCTGTGGATTCTTTAGGCAAAGACGCTTTTTTCCGTCTCCCTGACGGTAAAATAGTTACGGGGGGCATAAACCTGGAATAGAAATAACCAGTGCTTTAAAATAATTTCTTTTTCAAGTGTTCAGTATTTACTGTTTAGTGAGTGTTTAGAAATCTTCATTTAAACTTAGTTTTATACATATATGTTTCAAAGTAGAGTAGTTTTTAAAAGCTAACAAAAAAAAAAAAAAACGGGTTTCTAGTCTAGCGAATGTTACAAAGTCAGTTAATCCGCCAGCAGTTCTCTAATCATTCTAACCTTTGCCTGATTCGAAACCTTATGAGTGGAGTGAGCGGTTTCTGTCTCCTGTTTTCTTCTTCTCTATAATGACATAAATCCCACAACTCTACCAAGTCTTCTGTACTGGAAAAGTAGTTATTCTGAAACAAAAAGGAAGGAGAGTTTCAATTATTAACTGTTATTAACAGGACTGATTGACTGACAAAAAGCATATTGGCTCAGCGAAGCACCTTACAATCCGGCACACGAGGCAGCTTTATTTTTAACTTGACTGAAACAACTAGTATAGAGGTTGTTTAAGTCCCTACCTGCTGCTACTTAAATAGCTTTCCATCCCAAGATTTTTCTCCCTTTACGCTACGAAGACTGAACTTGACCAAAATACCTAAATTCCTGTTTCGTAACGTTTAAAGTTTTGAGAAAGTATAGTTTGTCTAACCTGCAGTATACTGTATACAGACTCGAAGTCCCCTCTCGAAAATGCGACTTTTACTCTCGCTCTATTAAGAGTCTCGTTCACCAAGTACTCTTCTTCAAGAGGCAAGTTCCTTAGGAAAATATCCAACTCGTAAAGCAGCTCGTTTTCTTTCAGCAAAGAACAAATCTCGCACGACAACGACAAGTCAGGTCCATTCACGTTCCAAATGTGCCACAATCGTTCTACATCAACAGGTTCTCTCGCTTGCTGTGATGTTGTATTTTTCCTCCTATTCGAACCCATGGTCGATTTATAATTGTCTCAAATATAATGAGTTGTAAAAGGCACCAATATCATTCAACTATTGTAGCTTGTTGTGTTTCTGCCCAGCTTGTAATTTTCATTCAGGTAAACGTACACTTAGTGACGTGTGCACAAATCAACCAGACACGTGCATATTTTTGCCATGAAATTTTTTCCTCTTCGTTCATTAACCAAAACAAATAAACAAATTAAATATACTCTAAAAACAGGCGATAAGCATGGTTCTCGATGTAGAACATTAATTAGGGAACAATTTACAGCCGAACTGACAAATTAAAATTAAATGTTCTTTTGCATAAATATTTCAGCATATCGACATGCATGCCGGCATCAATTATCATTGTCAACACTACTAACGATTTTTCTATTCATGTATAATTTAATATGATAGCAAAAACAACATTAGAAAACCGAAGTCAATTGATTACGTTTTCCATTTAATCAGCTAAAGTAACTGACAAAATTATTTAGGTGCGTAACCCTGAGGGGGTAAGGGGAAGGGGAGACGTCCCCAAAGCTTTTTTACTTAAAGCTGTCATGGCGGGAAATCTTAAAGATGAGACGCGTACGCGTGTGCTTTGGCGGGAAAATAATAAAAATGTCTAAAGTTAATGTAAAAACATCAAATCTGTCTGTCTACCTTTCTGACTATCTGGTATAATTTTAAATTTAAAATGTGTAAACTACCGACTTGCCGGGCGTACAAAGTATGGTTCGTGTGTCCAGCAGTCGACATTCATTAAGTAATGCATGATGGGATTGAAGTAACATTGCCGGTATAACAATATATTCATTACAATGGAAAATGAGTGAGTGCAATATTTATCATGATATAAACCATTGGCTTTATCAATGGAACAATGTACGTGTCAGTAAGAACGTTTCCTAATTTTTGCTAATTCGGAATATTGGAAAAAAGATGACCAAAAATATGTAATTGAATGGTATATTCAGTTTTGTCGGCTTTTTTTAAATTTTCCCAATTTGTAGTCTCAAATACCTTTTATAGTTTACAAGTCAAGCCCACGACGCTAAGTCCATGTTTTTACTTTTGAAAGGCTTTTCGCGCTTATTACTCATCCAAAACGATTAAATTATTTATTTGTTGTGGTACTTTAAACCAAAACTTCACCCCATCGGCGAAATGTAAAGAACTATTTCGGCGTTAAATTTTTAAATCCAAAAATAATAATAACACGCATTTTGTATGCCAGTCAGCACTGATGTTTATTTATTGTGATGTGCTGTTCATTTTCGTATTAGAACAATATCTTTTTAATTTGTTGGATGTCGATTTAGTTCAATCGGGTAATATATGAAGCACCCGTTTGTTGTTTATGGGAACTATGAGTGTGGATGCCAAACAATTGTGGTTGTCTAGTTAAAACGGAGAAAATCAATCAATGCAAGTGAAATTCGGTACCTGCCGTTGCCAACCAAATCATACCAGACATATACATTGGTTTCACTGTAAAAACTGACGGAGAATTTAAATTTTTACAAAACAAAACTCGCGAATGTCCCATGCTGCTTTGCAAGTATGGTGTGCTTTTAAAAAAATGAATATAATAATATCTTTAAACGGTTCGGTAAATCACTTTCGATTACTTATTCATATAAGTTCCGGAACCGAACCAGTCGAAAGACGTTTTTGTTTAACTTTTAAGTCAGAAAAAATATGCAAATCATAGAGAAGACTGAACTACTTTTCCACGTACAGTTTCGTAGAAGAGAAAAAATAGGGCGTTCTTTGGCTAGGCCTAGTCCCAAAATCAAATATTAACACTTCATCTTGAAAGGTTCTAATCGTCTTCTCAAACAACATCTGCAGATTAAATTTTGAAGAAATACTTCAGCAGGACTATTGAAGACGAAAACATGTCAATAGCCTCTTGAGCTTGTTAGGATCATCTAATGATCGAACAAGCTGTCAGTCATGATATTTTATCAAGAAAAAATATTTTTTTAAAAAGAGGGTAGATAAAAATATAACTCAACATGGCTAGCGGCAGTGTCAGTCACATTCTCGATGTATAGCGGTTGTGCATCAGTATTCTAGAGTAGTAAAGGGTATCCGCATACTATACTATACTGGAAGTACTACACCTTGAACGACTGAAATAAACGACCAATGCTTTTATCTTTTCATTAACCCTCGAGTGCCGTTCTTTTTAAATTATTCATTTCAGCATAGTTAATATTTAATTGACTATGATTTCAGGCAAATCATTTCTAATATTTCATTTTGGCTCTGTTCAGTTCTCTTTATTAATCGTTTCAGAGCTTTTCGTTCTCTCTAGTCCTATTTTTAGAAATCCTTCGTTTCATTCTACCATTCATTCCCATCATTCCTCTTGCTCAAGGCTAACGGAGTCAGGGTCATCCACGGTGATTTCAGTATCAAACAGAGCTATCTCGGTATGATCGAGAGCATATAATAATTCAGTGTTAACAAAACGCTTGCTGTCATACATATTGTCATGCATATTAATGATCATGCATATCCCACATCAGTATCCATATGAAATTCTTATACTTATCCATCATTCAACTGGATATTAACTAAGAATAACTTTGAATAGACAATCAAATTGAAAACTTTCCATTCACTACTACGAGACTCGGTAGTATCGGAGAGACCCTCCCCCTGACAGTCTAAACAAATAGTCACGTGACCAAACAAGCCTCTTTAAGCGAGAATGACTTCAGAGTGTTGTTGGAGTCCCTAGAAATGGCCGATAATTCATCGGAAATTTCCACCGGATTCGATTCTCAGACCTCAAATGGCGACAACGAAGAGTTAGAGGACAGAGATGAGGTGTTTGATCACATCCCAATGCCAAGAAAAGCGAGTGTTTTGAAGAAGGAAGGTCGCGGTCCCAAGCGATCTTTGTCCAAGTCAGTTTCATTTAGTTCACGACCAGAAGACAAGAAGATCATAAATGGTTYGTTTTATTCTTTTTATTTAAAGTAATTTTTGTTTTTAAGTAGCAAAAGAGACTTTGAGGGGTTTCATGCTTAGGTTTTTTGATGGGCTTTGTCGTTTTTTCTTTCAACATCAGCTGCAGATTGCTTGACCTTCATCCAGAATGGATGTGAGTTAATGAAAATTCGCTCAAATTCTCGACAATATCAACGATTTTTTTCCTTGGATGAAGACTTTACGACACTGCGATGGAAACCGTCATCAAAAAAGCCAGAAAAAGCTAAAAGTAAGTAATGTTGTTATCTAGTCGTGTTTGACAAATGAGCTCTCTCGCTTCGCGGTTTCTTTGCTCGTGTCAGACAGTCAACCAGAGATCTAAACATTGGAACATTTTGCATTTTTACCCGTTTATCTAAGCTTTGTTCGTGCCTACAATTCTTGTTTTGCTAATATTATTTTAACCAAATGAATAAGGAATAGAATAGAAGCCGTCAAAGATATGATCATAAGTTTTTCTTTTTAATTGAGAACAATTTTTGGTCTCCCATAAATCGGCTGCTCGCATGATCATATATTCGTATGGTCCAGGGGTTCAGAGAAGTTATTTATATTTTGTCTCTCCAATACCCACATATCGAAGGAGAATACTTACCAACTGTAGCTATCTAATAGGACTCTCGGATTGCTGGTTTCCTGCAAATCATGCCGTTGGCGAACAACAACATGCGAATGTTCAATAGAACATTCGATCAACAAGATCGTTTGATTCAAGTAAACTATTCGAGATTTCTTAAATACTTCCCCATAGTTTACTCAGATACAATGCTCCAATCTAGTGATTTTAGACGACCTAGATACTTGATGCATGGCCGCGGTAGGGATTGCCTTGGAGGAAATGCCAAAACAACGAGTTTTTTCGAAGATCCTCTCTAATTATTCCCGAGGTAGTTATACTTGTTCAATGTCTACACATACATGTACATTCTTGAAATACGAGGTTTATTTTCTGTCGTTCCTTCACAATAGAAAATCCGTGAACTAGCAGCGCTTTAGTACGTGCCTTCTTTAGATCGAAGAACAATAAAAATGCTTTTGGAATATTTTTCTTTTTGTTCATAAATATATATTAAACCTGTTAGGTTTTTGTGGCCTTTTTATGAAATTTCTACATTTGGATGAATTTAAGTTAAATTTTAATCAGTATGAAGGTTTCTCCGGTTTTCCTATAACCGTCATTCATTCATTCATTCTTTCATTTATGTGTGATGGGATTTCACCATTGATGTCATGAAACAAAACTCTCTACTCTAAACCTTTATTGCAGTAATGCCAATTATAAAACATTAAACAACATCAGCTGGTTTTGATTCAAATTGTCTACAACATATGGACGTTTTTGTTTTTAATTCATTATTTGAATTTCAGCCTTTTTTGCTTTAAAAATCTGTCAAAAAGCCTTTCAGCCTTATAAATATCAAGGCTCGGATTTCTCTTAACCACCATATTTTTAAATCTCTCGAGTATTTCACTGTAGTTAAATTTTCTGATAAAAATAGAAATAGATATTAAAACAATTATGTCTGGAGAATGGCATTAGCACAAGGGTTGTGAGACAGTGAAAACAATTCCCTTAAAAGAAATCCATGTAAAGTCAGTATATTTTGAGAGCTTGTTGTATAAATGGAGGCATTATATATTAGCTTGATATCAGCTGATTCAAATGTAAACCCATTCCTTGATTTCACAAATAGTATTATCATGATCTAATAAAGATACTCTAGGTTTTTTGATGCAATAAATAATGAACATATGAAAAGCTTGAAATCTAAACCCTTTACATACTGATGCAAAGATCAAGCTTTGATTCACTATGGATTCACAACCTCTCTGTCATATATCATATGAAGCATTTATTCACATTTTTTGATAAATTTATTATAGCATGAGTTTTAGTGTTATTTATAGACTGTATAATTATATGATATTTAAATGTTCCATATATATATGTCGATCTGTGGTATATGTACATTCACATTGCCTTTACAATACTGTATAACTTTTCATTATAATGTAAGGGCAGTTTATTCAAAGCTAAAACACAAATCATCAAGTACTATACTTCGGCAATCCATTGTTACCAAGGAAGAACTGATTATTAATTTCCTTTGGTTTTGACCATTTCCACTTGACCCAGACAAATTGACAGATAAAATAATGTGAATATGTTTTTTCTCAGTATTTTTATGATCATAAACTTAATATCCATCCACGCTTTTTGCTTTTGATGATTATTTTTATCRTTTGAATCAACAAACCTTAATCATTCCTGAACACAAGGGATTTTGACTTTAGATTGTAAACTTGATTTTTTTTTGTCCTTTTGATTTATTTTGAGTGAAAGAAGATAATGTAATCTGCTATAAATAAAGGATGTTAGCCACATGTCAATGAAGATATCATAAATAGGAAACATGGGTCATATGAAACAAAATAGAAGAGAAGAACAAGATGATTTATTGAAATTTTGCAATACTTCAGTATTGACAAATATTAGTCAGCTTTACATGTGCAAAATAATATATTTATCAGCATTCTTGATATAAGCTTCACAGTCTTTCAGCATTATAAGTATGATCAGATATATCTTGCCACCTTGGATAATAAGAAGATTGAAACCAATTTCATGCCATTGATATAGCGCCAGCAGGGCAGTACTACACACACTTGTAAATAATTCATGAGACCATCAGTAAACTTAGTGAGATCTTTTCACATCTTGTAGAGTAGTGCTTTGCATACATATTCAGACTAATGCACAGTGGATGTAACAAAACTTACATTATATGGACTAGATTGCATAGTAACGAAACTAAATGAAAATTTTAACAATTTTTGGCATTAATTATATACCTGTATATATCATGAATCATTATTTTATAAATATGGCTTGTAACTTTTGTGATTGGCTGTTTATACTACTAAAGTTAAAAGACCTTTGCCACTATTAAGTTAAGCAATAGTATTGGTTTGAGTGCTTTATTAATTGAGTGTTTTTGCATTCTGTTATATTAGCTAGATAAGTGCTAGCTGACATATATCACTTTACAAAATAACATCACAAACATACATTAATATTAAATAACAACTTTATGTTGGGCTTCTTTTATTGCCACATCTTTTAACAGCCTCTACCAGCAGCATGAGGATGTAGAAATATTATTGCATAATGCTTTCAAGAACTGAAGTCACAATTATTATTTGACATGTTTAATTACATCAAGTTGTACATATATGTATTAACATTTTATCATGAAATATTCAGGGAATAATAGAAATAATAAATGTCATGTACTGAGTACCTACTTGAGATATGCATAATAGCTCTATTCACAGCTCATGCATGCATTATGCATGCGTCATGCATGTACAAGCTAATTAAGCTGGCTAGTACATTTATAGACTGACATATATACCATGAATAGCATCACATGCAGGACCAACATCTCCTTGCTGCTTACTTACCTTAATAAAGTCTATCTATATTATTTTATTAATATTCAAAGTCTATCATATGATCTACATAATTATGATCTATCAAAGGCAGGACAGATAATGATTAACAGATGCTTCTTGTGTTCAGCCAAGAAGAAAATAGAAATTTGTTGAATAATTATATATCATTTTCTATATCATGAGATATAAAGGGAAGGACATTATTTGGATAATATTTGTTAGTCTATGGTTTGAAGCCGTGCATATCAGCTCATATTTATTTCCCATTACATGATATTATCAATCCTAATGAGGTTAATATTTTTATCTTTTTATTAGTTAATATACACTCTATAAGAGAAATTCGTACGGGAAAGAATACTGAGGTATTCAGGGAAGTGGATCGCGATGACATCCAAGAGGACTGTGCATTTTCTGTAATCTACGGTGACACATTTGAGACTCTCAACCTGGTTGCTTATTCTCCTGATGAAGCAAATATTTGGGTGACCGGGTTAAGATGCCTTATTGATTCAGATAAAGGTATGAAGACTTTCAGTGATATGTTATTGTATGACAAAAGACTAATTAAAAGGTGCAATGTGTTCTCATCTTAGGCATATGTGTCATTTTTAATTATTGTGAGAGTAAGATTTTAATATATTAATTTATCTTTTCAATATATCTGTTAAACAAAATGATAATACAAAAGGGAAAGACGTGGTCTGATTGAAATGGATCGAAAAACATTACACTAAAGCTGAATAAAGCAATTTGTACAATATTATGATTGTCATATCCAATTTTGAACATAAAATCACACGAAACATTCACATGATTACAGTGTATATATACATGTATAGTGATCAGTTAACTAGTATGTTCAAGTGACCTCATAATTTTTTCAACAGCACAAAGTCCAGTAGAACATCGACAGCAAATGAGGGATAGATATCCTTTGATGCTTATAGTAATGCCCATGCTAATGAGCATAGCCATAATTGCCATTATTATAATATATAGTATTTTGTATTTCATTGTAACATTATAATTATTTATTATTCCATTTTGTTGGCCTTAAATTAAGTAATGCTATTAATTTACAGCTACCTAGAGATATTGCTAATATAGCATCATATCTGTGGTTTGGGATTGATGTCCTGTCAATTCAATAATACTATTTCCAGATTTTAAAAGTTAGAGCTAAGAATATTAGGGTTTGTAGTGTTCTAGAATAGCTAATCCACTTTTTTGCTTAAGAGAAACATAGAAACACATTTGGATGACTGAGATTAGGAAAGATGGACAAGAGGAGGATATAACTACAATTAGCAAAATCATTAAAAATAAATTTTTAACCATGAAGTCAAGAAAATTAGATATTCAAAAACAATATTTGAAATTCAAAACAATAAATGTATTTAATATTATGTTCTTATCCTCTTGAGAATTAATCCTAGATTCTAGAGAATCTATGAAGCAAAACATTTTGCTGTTGCAAGATGATCAATGAACTCATAACATTTTGTCTTTAAATTAAGTATCCAACTTTATTCAAGTAGACTGCATTTAGCAGTAGTTAGTTATGTCCTGATTTTATCTTTAAAGCATGGATTATGTTGTGCGATATATCACAAAAATATTGACTCTATAGACTCTATATTCTAAATCTCTTATTCTCTTAGTGGGATTTTATGAACAATTAATCAGGATTGTGATTGTTCAGTGACAGTGTCTGTCTGAAACATAGGCTCCTGTTGAATACATGAATATAACACTAGCCCAAATGTCTGATAGAAAACCAGCTCTTTTCATGTACTAGTTCTCACAACTATAGCTTTTTGCTGGCATTGTACTTCTGAGAAGGTACCTTGCAACTCATGTAATTTTTTTTGCTACTGGTATGAAAAAAGGCAAAGGTTTTATTCATGTATACATATTTTTTATTTATAGTTTTCTCATATAAGTATATTGAAAAGCTTTTAAAGTAATTTACAATGAAAGCTCACTTCAGTTGTCATGTTGGGATTGAAGCAGATTTTTATCAGTCTCGTCAAAAAATCTTTGCTTAGAAATTATCTCTTAAGTGTCATGTGCAAAACATTCTAATTATAAAACGTATTTTTGACTGGCATTAAAACCAAGCTATATATTTCCTAATGTAGGAGAATATAACAAATCATTTTGTCATTGATATATACTGTATATTTTGCTTCTGTTATATTATTGTGTATGTGTTCATGTGTTTTTGTACATTTCCACCAATAGAAATCAATCAACTTCATTCCTTGCCGTGCATGTTTTTCATTGTCTCCCTCTGACAATCTGTAATAATAGAGCAGGAAGCATTTTCAATAAAATATTCAAAGCAAAGAGAATAATCAAAAAACTTTATTTTATGCTTGTAGATTTTTCTTAGGTTTATTCCTGTTTTAGCTGTTGTTATAATTTCTTTAACATTCTTCACGTGGTTAAAAGAACAGTTTATCCTAGCAGATACTGGAGCCAAGGGCCGTCTTAATGAAAAGGAAGTTCTTAATGTGTTACAACAGCTCAAAGTCAGAATACCAGAAACTATAGTTAAGCAAAAGTTTAAGGTTAGTAGTGACCATGCATGTAACCACAGTAACCTGTTCTGTCATCAAGAGACAATATATATGTGAAAGCCTGATCACATCTTTCATTTGTCAATAATGTTTTTACTGTGAAAATTATAGAAAAACAAACAAGTAAAATATACAACAATCCTATGTACATAAAGAATTATTTGAATAAAATCAGGTTATCCTTACGATTCATTGATACCCATTTGTCATACACCCGGGTGAAGTGAGGCCACATGAAAGTAAAGCATATTGCCCCAGGGCACAGCGTAACTGCCTGGGCCAGGATTCAAACCCAGGTCTGTTGACCAAGAGTCCAACCCACAATATCTGAATATTTTAGCATTAATCAAGGGAAGATGGGTGACACTTGTTTTTGTTATCAACAGGAAGCCACAACTATCAGTTCTGCACCACATAAAAATAGTTTATCTTTGGATGAATTTTTATCTTTCTATAAAGAATTAACTACAAGACCAGAAGTTTATTTTCTATTAGCAAGGTAAGGATTGTCTTCAACATTCCAGATGCTTCTTGCAACAGCCACTAACTAGTGAAGAGGTGAGGTGGGCTATAAGGACGTGCCCTTCTCTGGTTCTACACTCGTTAAGGCATATTTTTGTTTTTCTTTAGATATGCAAGTAATAATGACTCCTTGACAACAGATGATCTTCTCTTGTTTTTAGAAGCTGAACAAGGGGTAAGTTGACACAGGAATCCCATACCATGTTAAGAAATGTTTTCTGACAAGAGATATTTTCTTTCTCTTTATTCCAGTTGACTAGAGTAGGTAAGGATGACTGTTTGGAGATAATAAGTAGATGTGAACCAACAGAAGAGGGACGGAAAAAGAAGTGCTTAGGAATTGATGGTATGTACAAACTTTCATGCAATGAATAAAAGTGTGAATGAAATGAATGAACAAAAGAAAGAATGAAGGAAAAAATGAATGAATGCATAAAAAAATGAAGGAAGAAATAAACAAATGAATGACACAATTTAATTAATAAATGCAATGAATGAACAAACAAATGGATAAACGAATGAATACATATTGAATAAATGAATGAGGCAGTTGAATTTATGAATGAACAAATGAACATTAGAATGAATAACTGTATTTATTCAAATTCCACTACTGAGCCACTAGTGTTGTACCAACCRGTATTGTTTCTTTCTCTACTTATGTACATTACCTAATGCAAATGTGTATATTTTCAGGGTTTACTCAGTACCTGATGGAGCCAGACTGTGATATATTTGATCCTGAACATTCCAAGATATGGCAAGACATGGACCAGCCTTTATCACATTACTTTATCGCGTCATCTCACAACACGTGAGTATAGATTATATGACAAACGTATTCTCATGGTTTGTTATTTGATTTCATTTTATTCTATGTTCAGGTATCTTCTTGATAACCAGCTCAGTGGTCGTTCCAAGGTAGAGGGTTACATCATTGCACTACAACAAGGCTGCCGCTGTGTCGAGTGTAAGTTACCAATATATAACATTGATAATTTGCTAAGCTTTCCACCATATTGAAACGAATGGCATCCTCAAAGACAGCCTCATAGTGCAGCATGTGTCTTACTTATTACCAGTTTCCCGTGCAACCTTAGAAATGCCAATAAAGTCTTAACACTGTTTGTATTGGTTTTGTTTTTCAGTGGATTGTTGGGATGGTGCAAATGATGAACCAGTTATTTATCACGGACATACGTTAACTTCGAAAATCTTATTCAAGGACGTTATTGAGGCAATCGAGGAACACGCATTTGAAGTGAGCCTGTAAGTAAACTACTTGCTAACAGCAGCTGATTGAGACATAACATGGGCTATCTTGTGACTTTTTCTCCTTTTGTTTTTCAGGTATCCAGTAATATTATCTATTGAAAACCATTGCAGTGTAAAGCAACAGCAAGTTATGGCAAAATATTTGAAAGAAATTTTACAAGGTGACAAATGATACTTTGTCCGGTAATGTCTATGAAAACTTAATCCAAAAGTACTAAGTAGTTACTTTTGTTTTAGATAAACTATATACATCATCTCCCGGAGAAAACGAGTCTTGTCTACCTGCTCCGGAAGCTTTGAAAGAAAAAATTCTAATCAAGGTAAATTACATGAAATATCATATTGTCCCTGTCGGGCAGAGCGATGACATTCACTATGTTATACTGCATACCCGCCAGGGGAGCATGACATGCCAGGCAGAAGAAGGTGCCCACAGTAATGAGTGATGTTAAATTAAATGTACCTTTTCCTTTTAGAACAAGAAATTACCATGCTTTACAGACGACACATCAGAAGCAGGTGAAGTCAGTGAGGATGAAGAGGACCAAGAAGATAATGGGGTCATCAATGGTGATTACACTAAACTTGACCGGCAGAGCACTCGACAGGGAAGCTTCAAGCGACAAACTCTCAAGGTAATGGAAAATAATAATAATGCAACTAAGGCAGGGAAACTGCGACAGCTGATCCTCATCCTGATACTGATCCGCGTTGCATGGTACGAAATTAACGTCTTCCTTTGAACCAATCACAGCACAGGATATCACTGCTTATCAAATATAAATGCCCTGGCAATTCACCGTCACATTCATGTACCGGAATGCCGTGACGCATTGCGCTTTCAACCAATCAAAAAGCACATACTTGCACACCATTCTTATTCTCTTAATAGAGCCCGCATTTCTATTGGTCTTCGCAAAGAAACGAACGAGCATGCGCAATACTCTATATTTCCTACTCGTACAGAAATAAAAGTTTGCCAACCTGATAACTGATCGATTTGAGGTTTTTTGTATTACAGCACGATGTCAACAAAAACCCAAAGAAGACGATAAAACTGGCTCGCGAGTTATCGAACCTCGTTACTTACTGCAAGTCTGTGGCATTCAAGGACTTTCAATACACATCTGAAAACCGTGAGTCAACCAGCCAATCAGAATCCACCCGCTCCAATATATCGTTTCTAATAGTAGCTTTCTTATTGGTTATTCAGAACAATTCTGGGAAATGTGTTCGTTTAGTGAAACAGTTGCTCGTCGCCTGCTAACAACATCTTCTGAAGAGTTCGTGAACTACAATAAGACGTGGCTAAGTCGAGTTTATCCTGGAGGAAAGAGAGTTGGATCTAGTAATTTTAATCCGCAAGAAATTTGGAATTGTGGCTGCCAAATGGGTCAGTAAAACAATTATGGCACATTTTTTTTATGGCACTAGAGTATCCCTAATCGCGTTTGTATGGTAGCATATTTTCGTACAATAGCCTTTATGTACCCAGCTTTGATAGATAGGTTTAACAAATGGCACATAGATTATCATTGTCTGTCCTCTTATTGATCATACATGACGACTTAAAATGTTCAAAACTCAGATAGATGCTGTTCTGAAGGCAATGCAAAGACATTGTTAGTAATGTCTCAATAATTGCAATCTTGTTTCAGTTGCATTAAATTATCAAACGCCTGGCGTAATGATGGACCTTAACAATGGAAAATTTCTGGAAAATGGTGAATGTGGCTACGTGTTGAAGCCATCCGTCATGCGAGATGGTAAGATTATCATCATCTTTACCACACATATTATTATTCACCAAATAAGGTTACTATTGTATTTTCTCTTTTAGAAATCTCATATTTTAATCCTTTTACGAAAGACACTATTCCAGGAATCTCACCTCAGATATTACAAATTAAGGTACGTTGTAAGTTGTCTTGAACCATGTTAGCTCGTTAATCCAACCACAGGGTTCCCAGGCTTGATACTCACAAGTCTATCTGTTCTTCTCAGATAATCAGCGGTCAACAGTTTCCCAAACCCAAAGGATCAACGGCCAAAGGAGACGTGAGTAGACCATGTAGATTGCAGATTGTGTCTTGATAAAAGTGTATCATAAGAGGACTGATAGGTTATTGACCCGTATGTCACGATAGAGTGCACGGTATTCTTACGTGACATATCTCTCTCCGGATAGGTCATTGACCCGTATGTCACGATAGAAGTGCACGGTATTCCTTCTGATGTAGCGCAAGAGCGAACACGAACAGTTCCACATAACGGTACGTAGTGCAGTACTTTCACAAGGGAAATCGAGCTGAAAATAAAGGGGAAAAAAGTGAAATGTGAGGAGGAAAAATATGGTTATAATAACATTATTTTTCTTTCATGATTTCTTGACAGGTTTTAATCCATTGTTTGACGAGACCTTTGAGTTTCATATCAATCTACCTGAACTAGCACTGGTGCGATTCATCGTACAAGATGATGACTTCATAGGTGATGCTTTTATTGGTCAATATACTCTACCAATGGAGTGCTTGTTACCAGGTATTTAACACGTGACCTGTAGACATACTGCGCATGCTCATCATGTGCTTTTCATTATTACTACGCAAGCTTTTCTCGTGTCGTTGAGCATGCGCACTAATGAATGGCAGGGCGTGGGGGTCGAAAGAGGTCAACTTCCTCGTAAGTTCATAAACCATGATTTTTCCAAGTCAGTTGCATATCTAGAATCATTAGTCATTTTGCCCTTGTCATCATATTGGCACAAGCGCATTATAATCGTAATGACTGTTTGTCCATTTGTTGGCAGGTTATCGTCATATACGACTGTTATCGTTCACTGGTGAACCTCTAGACTCTGCCACCCTTTTTGTTCATGTCACTATTACAAGTTTTAACGAAGCAGGGGTGAGTGTCTCCGATTATCTAGATGATCAGGTAGTCGTAAAAGAGTCAACAATATCTCGGACAGGTCCGAAAACCATTTTATAAAAAACTTGCATAAATCTCGCGTTCTGATTGGTTGGTAGCGTGTGCTGATTATGAGAGCACATGTAGGGGAGTACTACCTGACCAAGTAGGGTAGTGTTCTTATTTCTCAGCAAACAATGAACTTAAACTGAACTGATTGTCTTTTTTCAGCAAAAACAAAGAAAACTTTCTTTGAGGAAATCTAAAAAAGGAAGAGAGGTAGGACTAGATGGTTTCGTGTTTATAATCATGGGCTAGATGTTATTATAAATAAATATTGTTGGTTTGCAGTACACAAGTATGAAAACTGTTGGAGTTAAATCTGTTGATGAGACATTTAAAGTAAGTCATATGACGTATATTATGACCATATTTAGAACTCTAAACATCAATGCGCATGCTCTGAGTGTTTCATATTGTCGTTGTATTGTACTTAAGGCATTTCTTGTTGTTTAACAGTCAGCTATTCAACCTTTACGAGATGGTGCTGACCTCAGGGACAATCTTTTGACCGCCTTGTCGAATTTTAAGGTAAGATAAACATCGAAATTTATAAGAAGGTCCGATAAATAAACAGTGACTTATTATGCTTGATTGATTGATTGTTTGCTGGTTGATTGATACTTTTATATTCATCAGGAAATCTGTGGTGTTGCACCGCGAGCCAATTTAAAGCAGTGTATAAGACTGTTAGCGTCTAGATTAGAAACTGTGACGGAGACTGTACATCTGGAACTGTTGATGAAGGATGAGGTAATAATGTACCACCACACGGTTAGCTCAGTTGCTAAGAGCGTCGGTCTGTTGTGTGGGAGGTCGTGGTCTTAAAATAACTGAGGAGAAGGTGCTGCCTTTGTAATTACATCTGCAAATGGTTAGACCTTCAAGTCTTCACTCTATAACCCTGTATAAGGCGGACGTAAAAGATCTACTGAAGACGTTTGTGACGACCATCTTCAGTGCCCGTGCTAACACTACAGGGCACACAGTTTGCGAGAGCTCAAATTAATGACGTAGTGGTTAATATAAAGCGTTTCACTTGACGTCACAGCAGCTATGTTGGTGTACCAAAGCAGTACATTTTCTATCCTCCAGGAATTGAACTCTATTTTTATGCAATTATTGTCCAGAAAGTTTTGCACCAATATGGCTGCCTATTCACGTGATGAAAAACGCTCTATACCTTGCGAGACAGGACAAGAAGAAAGGGAGGAAGGAAGAAAGGGAGGGAGCCGGGAGGGAGGGAGGAAGGAAGGAATGAATGATTGAATGAAGCAGGATAACTGATGAAGTTGTAAAAAGTCAAACGTCGAACTTTAGATTAGCCTTACGCATTAACAGCAATAAATAATAAAGCGGTGTTCCGACGTTTGACCTTAGTCTAACTTCTTATATTAATTTCATTTTTCAGCAGTATCCTTTCTTTGAGGCCAGCGGTAACATACCAGACATGCTCAGAAGAGCGCTGTCGGCTATTGATCAGGTAACACAGCTCATTTGATGACATGGAGATAAGATGATAGAAAGACGTAATAATTACTGTATGTATTAGATGGGACTAAAAGTGACGTCTTTCCATAGATTGTACAGGAATCCAAGAATTTAATTGAAAACGGAGACACGATATATGAAAGGGTAAGAACAGCCCCTTGGCATTGAGGCGGGTGGTGATAACCTTTGTCATCTTTCTTATCAACATTATTACTGTTTGCAGATAATGCACTGTCAAAGATCAGGTCTGGAGTGGCATGTAAGTAGATGATACTAGTAAACAACAGTAAATACTAGTGCAACAATAAACTTCATTAGTTTCTCGATCTTCTAGCTTGGTATAAGTGCTTTAATAATCGGGGAGACCTAAACAGTCTGAACGAACGAATAAATGGGAAAGTGAATAAATCAGTCCCTAAAGAGTTAACTGACAATAGAGATGGCAGCCATATTTGGTGTACCTCACAAAAGAAACTTATGACAAAGTTAATATCAAAGGTACACCAATATGGCGGCTGTGACGTCATGTAAAAACGCTTTATAATTTCGTAGTTGTAAATAGGAATAACGCTTGGTGTTCAAGTTTGTAAATATTATTTTCGACAGGAAGACCTCTATGATACCTGTACTAAAGAGGGACTAAAGGGCAAACGACTTTCGAAGGTACTTTTTAAAATGCTGATTTTACTAATTTTGTATGGCAGACGTACATTAAAAGTAATAATTTATGTGCTCTCCCCAGGCCCTCGAAAGCTTTGCATGGAACATCCGGGTCCTAAAGGGCCAAGCTGAACTATTAATAGCGGCAAAACAAGAGTGTCAAGAATATTTAAGACAGGTTGGCTACCGTGTTTACAGAATGTTTTAGAGTATTATTTATGATTTTGCTCTCATACTATTTGGTTAACGTCTTTCTTTTCTATCGATAGATACAAGAGGCTTCTATAGCATCTGGGTTGGTCAGGTCTGTCGGCTCAAATTTATGATAGTTTCTTTATCTCCATGGTAACCATGAAATTATCAGTGCAAACTAGGAACCAGGCCACCGGTAAAATGATCGAGGAGAATCGACTATGATATGGGGGACTGGGTCAAAGTTATACATTATACCATGTGTAAATATTTGATGATTAATTAACTATAATACATTTTAGTAAATAAGGCGCTATGAATTTTGAAAATATTTTTTTGTACATAAGAATCTTTAAAAGCTAATAATTAGAGAATGATTTATGATATATAATCGAGGTATGTCCTAGCGATATCACCTCTGCCTGGTGCGTATTATATTAATAGTATATTGATAATTATTAATAACTTTATTACTTTGTCTTTATAACCGTCCACTTGGACAATGATCGGCCGGTAGAATTTTTTCAATGTGTAATTTTGGGTCCATCAGTAGAGGAAAATCATGATTATGCCATTATTGGACATGGGCTACCTGTGGTAGGCATTTTATCATGGCCGATATACAGAGATAGTGATATTTTTCTTTACTATTTATAATCGCTTTTGCGCTCCAGTAAACTGCAGCTGACGGATGGAAAATAATCAAAGCATGTTGAGTCGATTCCAACCTCACGATTCTCTACTTTTACTTTCGCATACCATGACACTTTACGGCTTTGGGGTAACCAAAGTAAAAAAAACAACATAGACTTACGCTGGAGGCTGATCGTAGAATGATGAAAATATTTCTTTTGATATCCAAATATTATAAAATGAAGACTGTTAGAAAGAGATGTAATGAGGGGGGGAATCTTTAGATGTAAACTTAAATCACTTTTTCGTACGCTAATTATACATTTTCTGTAACACCAAACGTCTTCCTGTTCAGAACGCCCAAAATTAACTCAGAATAAACTTATAATCAGTATTCTACAGATAAAAGCAAGTAAATTGTACATTGAATTGAAGAACGTTTCATTTTCTCGCAAGTTTTTTACCTGCTCTCCCCTAAAAAAAACAAAGCATTATAGGCTAATGGGAATGTAGAGGGGACTTTTCATCACTGCGCATGCGCTTATGCTATATGTCCATATCTATGATCTTTATTTGAACGAAATAAAGGATTGTGATTGGTCATTTTTTATAGGCTTTGGATATTCTGATTTGCTTATAAATAATTTGCGGGGAATTAGTTTTTTAGGAAATGTTTTTTTAATAGAGTTGAAAATATATACGGACGTTAAATTCAAGACAAAATGTACAAAGTAATAACGAGTACAGCTTTGTATTGTTTCATAGTATTTATTTGATGTAAATAGATTTGATGTAAGATGTATAAATGATTGATAGGAATGAAAGAGAACTTTGTATGTACTGAACTGACAGATGCTGGAAACAAGAAAAAGAATATAAAGAAAATAAACGAATAAATCTAGTGACACTTCATGATTCTCTGTCGTTTTTCTTTCGCCCATTGTTTTTTCCCTTGGGCTGGTTTTTCATTTGTTTTTCATAACAACGGTCTATCGTCATCACAGTCTGTGATGTCAATTGTTTTGTTGCAAAAACATGACGTCATTGGAAGTTATTCAGCGGCTTTTGTGCAAGCGCATCGTGGGCTCCAATTGCCAGTTTGCTGGCATACAGTATCATATTAACATTAATTTTATAGTTTTCTCGTTTCCTTTCTACAACTACACTCCAGCCACCGGGATATTATTACTTAAACATTTTATGAAGTTATAAGGGTTGTATTCCCGCTCGTCAGTTGCCATGGATCCAACTACCATGGATACCACATCCAGTTCCAGGGGGCAGCGCCAAATAGCCCAGTTGCAGGAAACTGAGAAGACATCCCAGCGGCATCCCAAAAGGTTTCCCGGTGTGCTGTGTGAGAAGGTTTATAGTCTTGAGACTTCCGGTTGAACCAAAACTAGCACTAACTTCAAAACACTAAAACATCATAGGAAAGAGATGATGAATAAGAAATTCCCTACAGGAGCGACGATCTGCTGATTCTGCAACTTAACCCTCCCTCATTGATGATGTGTAACGCGATGTGATGAGTAATGCTATCTCTCGTGTTTCACGATGATTAAAAGATGAAAACCAAGGTTTGATTCTCTCTGGGAAAGTCTGCATCTCAGCGGTGAAATCCGTCCGGTAAACTGGTTTTCAAACAATTGTCGGCAATGCTTTGGTTTGGTGAAACTTGGAATTTACTTTATGCGCTGAGAAGGAAACCTGATGCTGTTCGCACGTGCATGTCAATCAACTACTTCCTCTTTTAGGTCAAAGACCAACTCGACTTGCCCAGAATGGCAATACTTCGCCCAGAGATCCTTGCGTAATGCCTTTGCAACAATATTTTGTCTATAAGCTGAGCAACTTGAGACTGTGGAAAGTTGTTTGTATTTGAGTGAGTATTTGAAGTAATTTCACTGAATATTACTCGAAATCGTTGTGACGTGGTTATTTATCTGGTATACTTTATTTTTTAACGGGTCGGTCATCTCGCCTGCATTCAGAACACGGTGGCCGTACCATTTCCGATCCGTATCAATTACTGAATGAGAAATAGAGCTTCAACAAAACGTGTCCTGACTTGAATTGGACTCTCGAGATGCCTTATTCAAACGAAAAAAAATGACTTAAATRAAACATGTATTTGAAAAATCTCGTATCTATAAAAACATGTGATTATTACTAGAAAAAATAGTGCCTTCTTTTTTGATATTCAATTGGCGAGTCGTATAGGTACCTATGTACTATCTATACATCTATCATTTAGTAGACCATCTTATCATCATCATCTTGCCAGACATACGTATCACCTCTTTAATTCCTGTCAGGTCGCGTTCGTCACAATTTTAAATGATTTTCATTTGAAAAAGTTTATGCACGGTCCAGAATAGGCCTTCGCTTGCTCCTTGGCAAACATCAAAAGATAAACAAACAAAGTCTTGTCTGTTTAATAACRAAATTACTTTGAATTTGGTAGAAAAGTGAAGAATTTGATTGGTTGATGATTTGACGGCCGCGTAGGATGACAGCTGTGTTCACGTGACAGGTCAATGTCGATGTATTTAAAGCCAACGCTTGCGCCGTCGAGCCATTCAGTAGTACACGTGAAATGACGGTTAATAAAGTATYAGTCGGTAACGAGCAAATGGCTGAAGAAATTGCAACCAAACTAGAAGATTCAGCCACTGACAGGGTTACCGATGGCGTTGCTGGTACACCGAAAGAGGCCGCACTTAGAGCTTTAATGGAACGAACCAAATACCCAATAAGACAGTGTAATGGTCAACGACGATACGGACCACCTCCTGGCTGGGGAGATAGACCCTCACCTCCACGAGGATGTGAGGTCTTTGTAGGGAAAGTTCCTCGCGATCTTTATGAAGATGAAATTGTACCAGTCTTTGAGAAACTGGGTAAGATTTATGAAGTAAGATTAATGATGGATTTTAACGGCCAAAACCGTGGCTATGCATTCGTTGTTTACACAAACAAGGAGGACGCGAAGAGATGTGTAAAGACTTTGAACAATTATGAAATACGTAAAGGCAAGTGCATCGGGGTTTGTTCTTCTGTCGATAACTGTAGATTATTCGTCGGTGGAATCCCCAAGAAAGTTAAAAAGGATGAGATCTTCGCAGAGGTTTCTAAAGTCACCGAATGTGTTGTGGATGTTATTGTGTATCCCTCGGCGCAAGACAAGACGAAGAATAGAGGGTTCGCCTTTGTGGAGTATACTAGTCACAGGGACGCAGCTATGGCCAGAAGAAAACTTATGAGCGGTAAAATACAACTTTGGGGACACCAGATCGCTGTGGATTGGGCCGAACCTGAACAAGAAGTCGACCAAGATATTATGGATCAGGTTTGTGCTAGGTTTTCATACACTTGTGCCATCTATTAAAGCCCCTCCCCCATTATTACCAACACTTCCAACTAGGGTGCCGAGTCTTGTTCAACATCATGGCTTCCTTACTTCACCTTGAGAACAAATGATTTTTATTTTTTCAAGAAGTGAGAGAGTTTAGAAAATATGGTCGGTGTTCTTGTGTTCGTTTTGTTTGAAGGTTTTATTTGTTGATGTCGTGTTGGCTGTCCGCTGCCCTTGTTGCTCTTCTTTGAGTTAATTAGCCTGTGAATGGCACGAGGGAATAAATAAAGCCAGATTACAACAAAAGCTTTACTAAATGCGATGTTTTGCTACACTTTAAAGAGACGGTTCTCGCTTTAATAAGCTCATAGTCTAATGTCTTTGTTTTGTAGGTGAAAGTTCTATATGCAAGGAATCTTTTATTAAGCACGACCGAGGAAACAATAGAAGAATGCTTCAGTAAATTTGGCGAAGTGGAACGAGTAAAAAAGATCAAAGACTACTGTTTTATACATTTTAGAACAAGAGAACAAGCAAGAGAAGCCATGGAAGAGATGAACGGTAATAAATATTTTACTTGTATATTTTTATACTTAAAAGTTAATAATAACAGGTATAAAGGCTGGTTTTAGCTTTGCCAGGTCAGGCCTGAATGTGTTCCCTGCCATAGCTTTGACCTCTACCCGTCGTTTTTTGGTCATTCCGCTTGATTGTTCACTAAATAGCTTTGTTTAAATCTTAATGCAGGATTTCACACTCAATTTCTTTCTTTTGTCTTGATGCTACAACAAAAACGTCCCAGGGGAAATTTCTTTCTCGCCGCCATAGAATAGAATCTTAGCACTTTAAACACTAAAAGTAACACAACAAATTAGTTGGTGTTGATGCCGAAAAATGTTGGAAATAAAGCGCCAGATTATTCTCTAAACTAGAATAATAGCTGACCTTAGATGAGATTAATCGAACACTAGTGAGAGAACACTTTGATAAGAATTGTTTTGCTTTGACTTGATCTTGTTGTTTAGGATGTATCGACATCTTCTTTCTTGTAACATTACAGTATCACAGTCGAATGGCTTTCCTAATTCATCTTTCTTAGTGCAAATAACTTATCAATGTTAATCCCTTACAACATGGACAGGCAGTAAATTAGCATCGTATATAAGAACAAAAGCTGTTTTTTTAGAGCATATCTTGGATATTTTCGTTCTTTACTCGACTTGTTATGGTTAGTCACGTGTAGTTCGTAACATGAGCTGTTTTCTTTCCAATTCTATTCTATCGACGATCATGGGTTTTTTCCGTAGAGTTTTACTCAAATAACTTAACTAGATTTGCTAAGCGTACAGCTTTAAACTGATCGCTGATTTTAAACTCAATGACAAACTTTTCATCGTGAGTCTTTTCATTTGACAAGGGTTGGAATTGTGGTAGGTCGATCACAAGACTATCACTTGAGAGAAGTGACCAGAAGCTAAAAATAGTTTTTTTTTGTCTTGGTTTCTTGAAGTATAATAACTCGTTTAAAGACAACAACAGTAACGCGATCTCTTTTAGTCTTGACCTTAAATCCTTTACCTTCAAGAACATTATATTATTTTTTTACTTAAACACATCATTTCGACTCGATGTAATGTTGCTAGCAAGATAACCATTCATAAGCGAAACGATCCATGTCACTTCTTACGATGCTGTTTATTATATTTCTAAGCAAAATTTAAATGTTTGCTATTTATAAATAGCGTTTTAGAAAAAAGAAATAACGTTACTAGTTTTTCAGTTTTTTTAAAGTCATATGCCAGGAATTCCATTCGTTCGAGTTCCTGTATCATCCTCTAAGGATTCTCTACGTATTGTTGTAGGGTTTAAAGGCGATACCTGTCCGGACAAATCTTAATCTGTTTCATAACACGGTGTTCGGTTTAACCTTGGACGCTCCAAGTATCTTGTCTTTCGTTATGTCGATGACAGCACGGACAAGATTACGATTCTTTGGTGATAGATTAGATATTTAAATTCCTCTCTTTGCTCTTTAAATTCTATTCGTTAAGTTCAGTACAAATTGATCGTGGAAGGATACTGTGTTTGCAGTGGAATCAAGAACTAATAAATCAGTAATTGCTAGGGTATCATGTTTTGTGATCTTGGCATTCTTTTCTATAGAAGTCATGGCTGTTCTTCCTGCCTTTAGCTAGGTCTTTATTTATGCAATTATTGTTGTTCTAGTTGTTACATGCGAGTGATCTTATTGTTAAAATATCAATAGAAAGTCTGCAAGTTTTTTATTTAAATTCAGATTAAATTCTTTTTTTATTTGTTTCCTAGTGGTTTTCATGACACATTAACCTGCTTCAGTGCTTCATCATACCTTTGTATCTGGTACCTGTAGTATGAAGCAAAAGAAACATACTATATACTGATCTTCTTTTGAAGACAAACATATCAAGACATAAACAGAGGTTGCATGCGTGTCTATCATGTACTGTAATTTCCTGGGCTGTGTTTTAGGTGGTTTTCTTAGATATTTAATCTTATTTTTGAGGTTGTTTTTGCATCACTATAGTCCTGGCGCACATAAGACCCCAAAAATTGTTAGTGAAATATCATGTCATTGAGTTTGACCATGTCTGCCATGTATTAGTATAGTTAATTCATGTTTACTATGTAAAAACGAATTTCTAAGGCTGCTTTTGCTGGCAAGTCTATAAAAACAGCTTAGTGTTCATCCCGGGGGGGGGGGGGGGGGGCCCCCCCCAGAATTTGGGGGGGGGGGGTCCGGGGGGGTTTTGAAAGGGGGACCCCTTTTTTGAAAAAAAAAAAAAAAAAAAATCGAAGAAGCAGCTAAAGAAACTGGATTGAGCGAAGAATCAAAGTAGGTACTCCGCCAGAATTTGGGTAGGCGTGTTCCGCTGGGATTCTGAAAGGGGTACCCTGTTTATGACAAAAGAAAAACAAATTCGTAGACCCTGCTTATGACAAAAGATATAATTTATTGCACTGAATTCCTGTTTCAATTATCATGTCATCCCGCGTATCGTTTTTTTACGACCATAATAACCAGTTTCGGTCAATACGAAAGTAGAAACCCTGAATATGACAGGAAGCTCAGGAAGAACTTGGAACTTGAGTGAAATTGCATACCCTGTTTATGACAAGAAGCTCGAAAAACCATACCCTGTTCAGTGGATCATCCCCGTATAGTCCATATATGGGAGTACCCCCTTCCCCCGGGGTGATTATTCCGCTTTTTGTGAAGAGAAAGGCCAGTTGCGGTCGATGGTTTCCATGGCTGCTCAAATTCAACAGATGATGCACTATCCGAAGCCAAAGGAATATTAAGAGACTTCTTTTTCTGTCTTACCTTGGTGCTTGTTTTAATTTTGGCCTTTTTAAACTTGGCCATTTCTCGAAAGCAAAAGCCAAAGAACGACAGATTTGAATAAACAGACCGCGATCAAGCCCGCCACCGCGTCAGGCCGCTGTAACCAATCTATTCGAGCCGTGATTGGCTAAGAGATAACAAAAGATCGAGGGCGAGCTTTGAGAGGTCTAGACTGGACAGACTACAATCGCGAACGGCTTCAAGCAACAAATCTAACAAATATATCTAACGAATATATCTAACAAATATATCTAACAAATATATCTAACAAATATATCTAACAAATATATCTAACCACAGGCAGCCCAAGCTGTGGGCGTGGGCACATGATGGTGCAAAACCTCTATACACAGCAGTTTCGTAATCAATGCATACCGCTGTCTTTGATGACCAAGGACTCATTTGCACAGGCTTAGCCTCGTTTATAAGTCAGCTATACACAGATACCATTAAAAGTCCTTGAGATTTCAAAATATTGGTATTGTCCAACGTACTTGCACATTCTTTACATTACAGTTTCCCATCAACTGTGGAACATGCATCGTTGCACCTCAAATAGATTACTGTATCTATGTGTCTACGTGTCGTCTCTCTTTGTCTTTCCTAAAATAAAGGCTGTGAAGATATTGAAAGGAGGGTAGAAGCAAAGCAGCGGGGAAGGGAAGAGAAAAGAGTTAAAGGAAGATGGGGGGAGATGAAGGAATAGATATGGATCTGTTTTTAACAACTTTTCATCAATTTTTCAAAGGATCTTGAAAGAGCAGGAATCTTTCCAGTGGGTAGTGGAATGATGTTGATCACCACCACCGACGACGAAGCAAGACGAATCGAGAAACAATCTTTCAAAAAAACCAAAGCAGAMGTTGTTGAGAGGTTGAGGGGAGTCTATGGACCAGACGTACCAGAACCGACAGGTATTGGTCATATTTGTTTGCTTATGATACATATATATACACTCAACAAAATTACTCGATTCTAATTGGAGAAGAAGAGCACAATATAATCCCAAATTGTACTCTGTAGAGTCYCAATTTAGTTGCTCAATTTTGCTGAGCGTATTATAAACAAAAAATCCCACAATCTTCTCGTACGATTCGGAATTTATAGATACTCGTGATGTTTTGAAAGTTCTCAAATTGAACTCGACGAAAGGCTCGTCCAATTTTGAAAGCTTTCAAAACATCACTCGTACCTATAAATTCCGAATTGTACTCGAGATCTTGCGATTTCCTATACTAACTGTTGGTACACATTGAAAATGACTATTTTATTGTCATCATTATCACCACCATTTCCATTACCATTATCATTATCTTATTCAGTATCATTATTGTCATATATTCATTCATTATATTAAGCCTACGGCTTCGGCAGATAACACGGCCTTGGTCTTTACCCCCCTCTGCCATACATTATGAACGCAGCCTTAGGCCTAGGGGAAAACGTCGAACTTTCCACGCACCGAACTTAATTTCATCAAAGAATGCCGCCTCATTATCACCTGATATCCGTTGTCTTTAATGAGTTCGGTGCATGGAAAGTTCGACGTTTGCCCTAGGCCTTATATTCTCGGTTGTGTGTTATAATATTCAGCTATTCAACCAAAAACCGTGGCATTTTAATCAACTCGCATTGTTCCGTAGTGTGACATTCCTTACTATACAATGGACCTTAATAAAAGAAAAGAACGCATTTGTACACAATAAACTTCCTTTCTAAACGTCCTTTATTCACGAGGGTAACACTTAATAGCCAGTGGCTAACAAACCTGTGACCCTCATTCCGTGATCGAATTGGAATTTAGGAGTTGATTTTTGCGGAGGGAGGAAAACCGGAGAACCCGGAAAACCCTCGAAGCACAGGAGAGAACCAACAATCAACTCTACTCATATACAACACCGAACCCGGCGGGACTCGAACTCAGGTCGCATTGATGAGAGGCGAGCGCTCACACTGCTACGCCACCCGTGCTTCCACACAATCGAGGCTAAGACTGAGAAAAAGCGAACTCCAAATGAGATTAATATGTACGATGTCATGTTCAACTTCATCCATAACTGTTTATTTTCGTGTGAACGGTTTATAATTGGAAATTTTGTCGTCTACATACAAAGACTGATTTACTAGTAGAGACATGCGATCGTCGGCGATACTTAACCTCCCTATAAACCCCATAAATAGCGCAGCGCACTGATTCTAAAAATAGCTCAAAGATTCGGACAAACATTGCATTCTGTTTAACCTCTACGAGGATTATACAAACCGATTTTATCGTTTTTACTTAAAGTTACAATAATAACCCATGTAAACTTAGATCAACTGCGATCGGCTGTGAAAATCATCTGCTGAAAGTAAACTATAAGTTTGTTTGTCCGAATTTCGCCTTTGTCTTTGTTTTTATGACGTCACGGTTGCGCTGCGCTATTGTTTCTCAGGTTAACTTCAGTTCCATTGAAAAAAAAATTGCCTCGTAATCCTTGCAGAACTCTTTAGACAGATACTATACTGTTGCAGCGTGTACTGTATGTGTTTTCATAACTTTTTCTTTATCTAGATATCTACTATAATCGTTGGTCTTTGAATCCTTACATTCGTGGGTCGTATTCTGACGGTACCATCGGTGTAGAAAATATTCTTGCCTTTCATCGATATTAACTATGCTTTCAAGGAATCTATATTTATTGGGTCCTTCATGAAACTCGCATTCAATACATACATCTATTTCCTAATCAGATTAAACGAAGATTCATTATCTCTCNCTGTTCAGCGGATCATCCCCGTATAGTTCATATATGGGAGTACCCCCCCCCCCCCCCGGGGTGTTCATCAGCCGATTGGTTAATGAAGAGTGGCATAGCATATCAGATATCAGCTCATCATGAGGGGAGTGCGTACCCCTACAATCCCATGCAGGGAAGCATAGGTGGCATGCACTGCTAATGCCCTGTCTCTCACTAATGCAGCCTGGGTTCGGGTCCTGCCAGGCTTGGTGTCGTATGTAAGTTGAGTTAGATCATTAGGCTAGTTAACAATGTACTTGTCTACTTGCAGACACATCACAACAAATTTGGTATCTTGATGGGAAAAAGTAATGCTAAATTTAGGATGATATGACCCTACATTCCAGTACCGTACCCTACCAGTCAGAAAAATAACCCTACATTCAAGTCAGAAAATGACCATACTCTTCTACTCACAATCTATTGATATGTACATTACACTGCTGCACTTATAGTACCTCCTTCACTAACTTCTGCTGCTCATTCTTTTCAGGAAGTAAGATTGATGGTAATGAAATAGAAGTGACCCTGGCCAAACCTGTGGATAAAGACCATCGCCAGGCAAAATTAGCTGCCAAAGCAGTGATGTCAGCATATAACTTCATGCCATATGATTATCCACCAGCATTCGTGTTCCCTTATAACAGTCCATACATGACAATGCCTCCTCCTCCTCCTATGACAAAGTAAGTCTAAAATAATAAATACATGTTGAATAAATGATGTTGCAAACGAGAAAAGTGTAAAATATGCCTCAATCAAGAGGTTTCAAAAGAACAATAACATAAAACTGATAACCTCAATCGTTTGAGCAATGGTCTTTATTGCAAAAAGGTTTAAAAAAAGAATCAAGGAGAAGGTGCTGCAAAGCCTTCTTCATGGCTCTGATGGCCACACACATCCACAAGTTGACCCCTGCATGCTTAGTTATTGGTACATCTGTATATTAAATGTGTTCTGCTTTTCCTTTCAAGTGGTGTTGGTAGAGCTGCTGCTTCTGCTGTTGGTGGTACAGGTCGCTCAAGGGGGCGTGGCCGTACTGCTGCTGGCAGCCGGTCGGCAGGAAACAAATACTACTTCCCAGGAAGCCCTTTAATGTTTAAAGGTTACTATGGCAACCCTCCGGGTAGACCTGGTTACTATGGTGATGGAGCAAGAAAGGGACAAGGACAAGAGGTAAATAAAACACATCTTTTCTTAAGAATCAATCATAAAAGTGACCTAATGAGCCTCAAACATGTAAATTCATTCTAGTACAGCCAAAACCCATTGTATAGCCACACTTATGCTTTAGGAAACTTTTTTTAAGAGCAAATGTAAGAGCAAGCAGAAAGTCATGTGATTTCATGAAGCGTTACATTAACTGGCCAAATATCAAAAACGAAATGATAAGTTTGATTGCTTGCTGATGAATGACTTGACAGATCAGTTTCTAGCTGTCTTACAATATCTCGCAGCCCTTTTTGAAGTGTTTCAATGTGCATTGAGTCAAAACCATTACCAGTCTGCTCCTACTTTTTGTATGTAGACATCTTAATCGTAAATCCACTGACATCTGACCAATGGATGCAGTGTTGACAATAACCACATATTTGAAGCTTGCAGTTGCTTGAATGTAAACCTTGTGTTGATGTTTTAAAGGAACCCATGTATGACCTGTTGCCAGGAATGGAGCTCACACCAACAAACCCTTTGACTCTCAAACCCAATGCTCTGAAATCACCAGCACAGGTTAGTGATCTTCTAGTCGTAATATAAGTAGATGATGATATGAAGCTGGGTTACAGTCAACCAGACAACACATGTTTCGCACATTTTCAAAGAAAATCCTTATTTGTCAGGGCAGGGGTTAATGGGACCTTATGAACTTGTTGACAGGCTGAAGTGTGATTTTGTATTTAGATTCTAGAAGATGTTTGCCAAAAGAACCAATGGGGAGCACCAGTTTACACACTGCACAGTACAGTAGGACAACAAGATTTGCAGCTCTTCATGTACAAGGTACGATACTTCAAGCTATAGTATACCAGTATTATCAGGTGATGGACTTTTTCAGGCAGTGCACCTTTCTCTTGAGTATTATTACTTTGTTATTTTAACGTTTGAATAATAACGAAATGAAATAACCAGTGTTGAGTGTTTAAAGAAGAAACTCAGGAAAAAATCCTAGTTTCAAATGGAATTCAAACCCATGAAAAAATAGCCTAGTGAAATCTTGAGGCAAAGCACCTTCGTCTGTATAAAACACGCAGGACACTAGGCTTGTAGTTATTGGTATTTCTTTGTATATTGACTTCAATGTTAACTAACGCAGTTATCTTTGAATCGTGCTATCTTTCAGATATCCATTCCAAACCTTAATTCAACGTATCAACCACCAAAGCTTTGCCGTAGCGTTGACGATGCCAAGAACTATGCAGCAGATTATGCACTGCAACAATTGGGAGTGCCGTTAGATGGTATGTCTAGGTAATGAAATACACACTAATAGTCAGATACGTATCATACATTCTGCTTGCACCCACGCAAAACCCACTAGTTTTCATGCTAGTTTTCTACTTGATAGTGATTGGCTAATGCTCTACAAACTTGACCAATAATGTCTTTCACTTGGTTTTGCTCTGCAGCCCAGGACATACCAGTTACTACTGTAACCCAGGTGGCTTCTACGGTAGCATACCAAGCCCGCCCTATGGCGCCAGGTACGACTTTTGATTTAATAGAGTAGGAAACGTACGATAAAATTTACTGTATTTAACCATTGTTATCTCAGTATGTCCATGGAGAACCCTTTAGCCCTCCCTGATACGTTAAGGGTATCGAAAGCTCGAGCTACCAGGGATAGAGAAAACTCGTCGTCCTCCACACTTTATATATTTATTTTTTGCGTACTTTATTGCTCTTTTTACATTAGTCGGTTTTAACGGTCCTTAAAGGTAAAGCTACATAGACTAAAGGGAACTGGGTAGATGAGCTGTTTTAGTTTTCTCGCACAGCCGCGCTCGTGTACACGTATGGTCATTTTGACTAATTAATGGTTTAATGTCCTTTTTTAGGCCCGGTCTACAGTATCCACAATAATATTCGTACAATGAATGCCAATGACACTAATTCCTATACATCAGGGTTCGTACCAATGAGCCAAGCACCAAGTAGTCCGGGGGGAGCAGTGGTGGCAAAAATGTGGCCAGGGGGGGTACCCCCGACTCAAGATGGTGTTTATGGTAACTACGATGGATACGCAGAACAGGGGGGTTACCCTCAAAATATATATCAATATTAACAATTATTAGATGTTATTAGAATTATACATATATCCGTTGGTGGATGTTTTTATTTGTAGATTTCAGTCGCGTAAATTGTCTTAGTTCTTAGTCTATTTCATTTTTAAATAGCTTACGCTAATACTACGTTCGTGTTCTTAACCTGTTTTATTTTTCGAATTCAAATGGCTTTGAGCCAGGACAAAAATCTGCCTTCTGAAATTCATGCGAGTCTTGTAAGTAAATACCTTTCAAAGTTATTCAAGTATGTGCTAAAACATGACACAGTAGTCTAAGTAGATGTGTGTATGAAAGGAGTCACATTTGTCACGATAATCACTTGTATTACGTGATGGTTGACGTTAAGCGTGAACGTGAGGTTATTACATGTGCAAGAGGATGGTAGCTATTGCACATATAAGAAAATGTTGACACCTTCGAGATGTTTTTCAGCAAATACTGTAGATATTACATTCGTTCATTTTTTCAAAATGCCCTCAGAATCAATTCCTTGAGTCGACCATGTGTTAGATGGACTAAATTGTGATTGGGATGTGTGCGTAATTGAACTCATGCGAAAGAGAGAATAAGGCAGTTTTTCGAGGAGAGCAATGGTATTTGTTATTTATAAGACCGAATTGGAACTTCTACATTCATGCGTTTGTTAATAACGTCACAAGAAATATATTTTATTCTACAGTTGTCAAGTCAACAATTTTACGTTTTATGTCAAGGTAAAATACAAAAAAATAGTTTGTACAATGTACTGTTATTAGATCATTGGATATTTATAGAAGTGCTTATCTGCCACGCAAAGAAAGAATAAGAATTTGAATTCCCAAGAGAATGTGTCAATATGGTTACTATGGTTATTAGTGAAGATATTTCCAGGCTTCTGTTTGCGTCCAATGGCATCATGGCGATGTGGCTTATTTTCACTTGCTCTCTTACAACTGGACATCATTTGTAAATACAATTTGAATCAGAAAAACAACTTGGCTGCTATGCTAAGCTACTATGGCAGTTGTACATGAAATAGAGTGTGGTTGTCATGGAGACAAGTCTTTCACATCAATACAAACAAATTCTAAAATTTAGTTTCAAAAAACGTTCAATAACTTGAATTACTAAATTTTCAATGTTCAAAACAAAGAAAAAAAGTTTTACTGAAAGCAACAAAACACTTCAAGAATGAATCGGTGCCAAAACATCTTCTGATTAACTTGAATTAAAGTGGAATGACCACGTGACCAGGGCTGTGTGACTGGTAATCAGTGGCCACGTAAAAAGCGTCCTGTTTCCTATAGGATAATTCACATACGTTATCGCCGCCACGTTGATTCAATCCATTTCATTTGAGCTTGCAAATAAGAGCATAGAAATGATTATTCGTTTCCTTACCCAGAAAACGTGGCGGTGATGACGTCATGTGATAAAATAGAATGTTAGTGACTATTATGGTCTAGTGTAGTGCATGAATTATTGTAGTTTATTGATTGTTATTAGTAATTATCGTTTATGTTCCTAAAAATATAGAGAATAAGGTTTTTTAAAGATAGCTAAACTACCTTGTTCCAACGAAAAGTAGGTATAGCTCAAAACAATCTATGTTAAGCATTGATTAGAAAAGTAATCTTATCTTATCTATCATTATTGTCCACGGTACGAATAATACAATAAACAAATATTTTGGTACCGACAAAGAGTCCCTTATTCTAAATCACAACCAGGAATTATTCATATTTTTCCAAGAGGTGTAAAAAAGGGCTTAAATTCATCAAAACCATTGGCTATAGTCCATGTTTTTTTTGCCAAAAATGGCCAAATGTGACTGAATTGCATTGTTCATAAATAATTCATATTTTTCCAAGAGGTGTCAAAATGGGCAGATTAATAGGTTTTTTAAAGCTCTATAATGAAAAATCTCTCGCTGCGCCTCGACACATCTAACGAAATATTCATCATAACTCAGTTACGAAAAAACTAATTTTAACAACAGAAAACCCATCAAAAATAAGGAAACCAGATTATTCAATCCCAAATGAAGCCAATCAAACACTTTTTGATTTTATCAAGAGAATATGAAGTAAGAGAGCACATCCCTGTGCCCCATGAAAGTTTCTTGAAGATCTATTTTTAGCTTCGCGCGCAARCCTGAGCTATTTTAGCATGCGATTCCTGATTGGTCAGATTGTAGTGATGTCATGGCTACACAAGAGATCGGTAGTGACAAAGCTAGCAAGGTTCATGCATTTGACAAACCAAACTTTATTTAACTTGACGAGAAAATGTGTTTAGAGGAATTCCTTGAGAAATTCTGAAAGGTTTTTGAAGGAATCCATAAACAGCATATGTAAAAAATACTCAGCTGAGACAACATCATTCAATCTTGTTTTTAAATCAAAACAATGGTCGCTCGATTGAGACTCATTCATTTTGGAGACCAGTTGATTGCAGTTATAGATGAGACTGTAAGTTATTCCACAATTCTCCACCTAAACTGAAATACAGTCAATATTGCTGTATCGATCCCAAGGACACGTACTTCTGACTTGAACTTAAGTGTTTTCAAAATGACAAGTTATCTAATGGACATCTAAAATGAAGGTAGATTGGACTCGTTTACGAAATAGTAAAAGAGCCGGATTTTCGATGAACAACTGAGTCAAGAGTTTAAAAAAACTTTAAACTTGAGAGTAAATTTAGCATTTACTGTTGGAATCAGTTGTTTACCAGTAAAAAGAAGAGGTTTTAAGATAGCTGAAAACAGTCAAGCTGCTCGGAATAGAAGAATTAATAGGCATAAAGGCACAAATACGCCGAAAGTGAGAGCATCTGGCGGAAAAAATCGCAAGTAAAATGCCCTTCAATCAGGTAAAAATAATATCTTTTTTATCAGTTTTAATCCTCAAATACTAAGTTTGATTCCCTTTTTGTACTTGGCCGATATTGTGATTGTATTTCTATTGTCTGTTGGGGACTTTAGAAGTTGAAAAGTTATGAAAAAATACCTGAACATTGAGGTGGAGCGAAAATCATCGTGCAAAACAGGGCGCTAATTAGGTACTAATAAGCGCCCTGGTGCAAAATATGAAAGCAAGTTCTAGTTTTGTACAGTAATAGTCAAACTTTTTCTTTATTTCGCCTTTTCTCTGTGGGCAATGTCTTTTGCATAAACTGACATACCGTATTTTGGCAAGCTAAATATATTTAATAATTGTGAAAAATCATTTCAGTGCCTCTTGTAGTTTTTTTTATCTGTGAAAACAGAAATTTTTTTCATTGGCACACTTCGGTGCAAATAGTTTGTTCTGATTCGTGTGTGAAACAACATACCTTCCAGGAGTCTACCAATCTTTTTGTTTTTTTGCCCTTAGGGAGTTGTTCATGGCACGTTCTTATGCAGTCTTTGATTTGCCTTTTAAAATAAGTTTGGGAAGCAAAATAATGTTTGTTCAGTCGATGTACCTCGTTCCGCGTGTAGGGCTTCGAGCGAAGACGAAATTTGTTCGACCGCTGAAACGATTTCGAAAAGCGAAAACCCGGGGAGGAGGAAGAAGAAGCATTTGCCCAAGCTTTACCCAAATCTACTCGGTACAAAAATCAATGGGCGGTATATTTTTTTGAAAGCTGGCGTGAATCACGGGTCAACCACTTTGAATAACGCGCTAGAAAACATACTAGAAGAGTTAGACCTTGATGTTGACTGGGTTGAAATGTCTACCCTTTCACTCGACTTCTGGATTGGAAAGTTCGTACAAGAAGTTTCTGATAAGCAAGGTAACGTTTGCTTTTTTTTTGTTTTGTTTTGTTTTTTTAATTGTTTGTTTGTTTTATTTATCTTTTTTCCCTGTTTAAAATGGTATATGAAAGCTGTGGCTCGAAACTAGTTATTCTTGCTGCATAAATGTGTTGGTTCAGCGAAACGAATTTATTAGAGCCCTTCAAATAAGTTCTAGCATGTGATAACATCTGGCTGTTGTTATACTTTTCCAGAGGCCAAAGATATCCAGCCAAAACCTTGTTCCAGATTGTGAATGGTTTAAAGCGACACCTGGAGTCAAAACATTGAACAGATGTCAACATGCTGGATATGACTAACATGAAGTAAGTGTGTATGAGTATATTTCGTAAAGATTAAATGTTTAGCTTGTTGGAGGGAGAAACTATTCTGCACGCTGAATAACTTAATAAGAGATTTTGGATAACGGATGGCAAAGATTTGAGTGGATCCTGTATCGTCATATGACTAAATCAATGCAATTTGATTGGCTGGTTGCCTCGTGAATCAATTAATGAGTAAGAGATTCGGGGATCCAAATTCCAGATTAATAGGTTTTTGCAAGCTCTCTATAATTCTCTATAATAAAAAGACTTTAATTTTAAATTAATTTTTTAAATTTAATTTTAACAATAGCAAACTATACAAAACAAGGAAATCAATGCTTTCGGCCGAAAACTGCCCAAAATGACTGAATTTGATTCCTCAATAAATAATTCATATTTTCCCAAGAGGTATGAAAATTCATTCTACAAAGAAAACTCTATTTAAAGAAGACAAGGAACAAAATTCATGTGTTGATATTGACGTTTATTTACCTACATTAACAACTATTATCTATCTATTGAGTTCCTTTTTTCGTTTATAAGAGTAATCCAGTAGTATTATTGGTAGTAGCCTTCTTACAGCATCACACATCCACCTTTTGGTTGAGGCTTGGGTCGATTAGCTATCGCTTCAATCTGTTTACCCAGTGTACTGATCTCTTGATCTCGTCTATCAAGTGATTGTTTCAGGACATCAACCATGTCTTCCATGGTCTTCTGGCGAGCCAGAGCTGCTTCTCTTACTTGTTGTTGTTCTTTAAAGTTGGCTTCCATCATGTTAGTCAGTTGTTCACGCTGATCTTGCATGTTTTTCTCAAACATCTGTTGCAGTCTTATTTTTTCTTCGTCCTGCTTCTCTTGCAGGAGAACCATCTTTAAAAAATAGAGTCACGATCATTAGGTTTGTAAGAAGCATTGCATAAAAACTAAATGACAAATGAGAAGCGGCGCGCAATGCATCGTATGTATCCCATGGTGCATCACAGAATGTTGTTCAGGGAGACCTGTGTTATGTATGATATATTGCCTACCTCTCTTTGCTTGATTTCCTTTTCTTCTTCCATACGAGCTTTGTCCTCCTGAAAAAGAAAAGAAAAGAAAGAGACCGAACAATTTCCATTTATTTGTTGATATTTGTATCAATAGGTTACGATATTCTCTTAGAACCATTTGTTTGACATTTAAGACGCAAACCACGTTACATTAGTAGTAAAACAAATGATTTGTAGGTCATCGGAGGTCGGTCGGGTGTTACGAAACAGGTAAATGTTTACAGTACTACCCCTAACAAGCCAATATCATTTAGTTGCAAGTTATCATGATGCAGCCAAACCTCTGATTTAAGTCTTTGTTCTTCAAGCTCAGCTTTCTCTGCCTTCTCTTTAGCCAATGACTCGTTGTAGTCTTTCATCTTTTGCAGAATATCAATGTTCTGCTCCATATCTCGCTGCAATTCCTTCATAAGAAATTATCTTCATTCAATTTGAAGCTACTCATAAACTTAGTTGCTTGTCACCCTCTCCTCCCACACCGGTACACTTTTGGAATCACCATATGGAAGTGCTCATAAACACAGTTGCCTGTCACTCTCCCCTCCCACACCGGTACACTTTTGGACTCACTATATGGAAGTGCTCAAACTCGTGCTGGTTACTAGGTGGTTACTAATTGTTAGACTCACCGGATGGAAGTTCATGAACACAGTGGCCTGAACATCCTTTGCTCCACGTGCTTTGGCTGCGTAGCTTTCCTGGATTTGATTGTATGCACTGACGATGTCACTAAACTGCATCTTTGATGCTTCTGGACCACGAAGACGTTTAAGCACTGGATCCAGCATGCTTTGTTTGAGCTCTTTGAGAAGTTGAATGCAACAGGCCTCGGTTTCGCTTGTATTTTGTTCTATCCACTTGGACAGAATGACGTCAGCTTTTTCCTAGTCGAAATAAAAGTTTAAACCGGTTTCTTTTGCTCATTAATTTAGATAAATAGTATTAAATTAGAGTGTATATTTAATGATATTAGTAATAATTATGTAGATCTACATGATCGATCTCTTGATAGGCATGAACCCTCACCTTTAGTTCCTTCAAGTACTTATCGACACTTTTTATTGACAACGTAAATGTTTCCTTGCGAAACGTTTCAAATCCAGCGTCCATTGCTTTCAGATGTGCAGCCCTAATCACGTCAGCCTCGCAGGGGATCTTTTCCTTCATTTGTGACGTCATTTCCTGTTTATAGGCAGCAAGGGCTGCAGCCAAAACCTCGGTACATTTGTTATGCACAAATGTGTCCCACGCGTTCTCTACGTTGGGTACGGTGCCCGGAGTGTTGAGAGCCTCGACAAACAGCTGAATAAGAGCAGCCAGGGCTGGAAGACAGCAAGAAAGCTTTATGTAACTGCATTTAACATTTAGATGGTGTAAGAAACAAGCAAAAACATTGAATACCTTCCCCAGTCACAAATTCTCCTTCATTGATGGATTTCTTGGGGGACAGTCTGGAGTGCAACATCTTCTTGAAGGCCTGGACCTCCTTCAAAAACTGAGGGTTAACTTGCGATTCCAGATTTTTATCGTTAAGATTTTTCACGACCTTAAAAATAATGGCTTTAAGTTAGTGGAAACGATCTCATACATAAATAATAGAAAGACAGCCAAGCATGCAGGCATATCGACATAGGAAGACATGTTACAAACAACAAGACACTAGGAATACGATTGGATGAGCGGAGAAAAAAAAGTAAGATAACGAATTACCTTGGGATCGTAGGCAGGTGGTGGAAGTGAAAACGCATCAAATGCTGAGAAGAAATTGAGGATGCTTTCTGCTGTTTTCCTGGCTTTGTCATTCAAGTCTTCGCTGCTAGCATTAAGTACCTGTACGGAAAAAAAATTCCAATTATTTTTGTTTTTTACAAAACACACTTGATTTCGTACATCAGAAAGAATATGACTCATTACTTTCTTCAGGAAGTATTCTTTGATGTTGCTGCATCCTGCAGGGATTTCAAGAACCACGTCTCTCAAAAGCCAGATAAAGTTGGGAAATGCCTCGTAGAAATGGCTCCCGTCTTCATCTGTTGCATTCTTCTTCTTGGTGTGCAACTGGATTCGCTGGGAAAGTTTCACGATGAAGCTGATGTCACGGATAGTAAAGGATCATAATAAACCGAACATGTAAGTGAGATATTCATGCAATAACAACTGAAATAACAAAAGCAAAAGTCAAGGATACTCTAGACCCTCGAGGTCTGAGCGGTTGGGCACACCAGCAGAATTGTAAATCAA